ACCAGCTGTGTGGTGTTAAGTGTCCAAGTGAGGTCCTTACTGATGTGGACGCCCAGGTATTTGAAGCTGCTCACCCTCTCCACCTTGAGCCCCCAGATGAACAGCAGCCGATGAGATCTCCTCTCCTTCCTCATGTCCACTATCATCTCCTTCGTCTTGTCCATGTTGAGGCTGAGATTATTGTCCTTGCACCATGACACCAGACCAGCCACTTCCCTCCTGTGGGCTGCTTCGTCCCCCCCAGTGATGCGGCCTATCACTGCGGTGTCGTCCGCGAACTTCAGGATGATGTTGTCTTTGTGGGAGTCGACACAGTCGTGGGTGAACAGGGTGTAGAGGATGGGACTGAGGACACATCCCTGTGGGGTGCCAGTGTATCCATTTATGATTATTTTTTCAAGCTATTAACCATAAAGAAATGTGTTTGATATAGAATAATTGGATCATATTTTTAGATTAATTTAATATAATGTATTTACTGATTTTGGGAAGTTTTAATTTTGAATAAACTGTTATTTTAAAATATTTTAAAACAAATACTTCATCTAGAATTACAATGTTAACAGCTTGATAAATTTGATCAACAGGCACACTGCGTATTTTAAAGTGAGTCTGCAATGACCCAAAGCTAATCTGAAAACATTTTATTGAGAGGTTTACCTCAGATGAAGTCAGAGGAAATCACACCACACTGCATGCTATCTGATTTCACTTCAGCTCTGCAAACACCATAGCATTCAAGATGGAGATGGGTTGAGATATGAGGTTTTGCCAACAGTTTCAGGATCCACTGGAGTTGCAAGATTTTGCCATAGGCTGTTCTTAATGCTTTTCATTGGCTGAATCTGTAAAACCCACAGACAGGCATAAAGGTTGACTAATAGCGTTGATTTATTAAAAAAACAAAACAAAATACAGACATACAACGTTTCTGACTTACTGAGACATCTCTTCGTTGTTAAAGTAAGGTTGGAGTCAGGTTAAATTTCATAAGATGTGGCTAGTTAGGGGTAGGATGAAGGTTAGTTTCACATATAAATAAGAGGAAACATGTTTATGGAGAAACAGACTACTTACCTTAGAATGTACACCAGAGCTTTGGGACCTATTGCCAACCCAGTCATATTTACACCAGCTATCCAACAGTGACCCCTAGAGGTGCTAATCAGTATGAACAAATGAAGCAATGGAACACAAGATGAGTCTGTTTTTAGACAATGCTAATAAAAAAAAGAAAAGAGAAAATCTGTAGGTTGAGGTGCGTTTTCACTTGGTTGCAAACATGCACAAAAATATATTTTTTTAATTTATGATGCATATATAAATATGTTGCAGTGAAAAGTAAGTGAAATTCTTTTCATAATATGAACTATGCATTTTTATTTTCCTGATTTTTAACTTTTTGTAATATTTTCTTTTTTGTTATGAATATTTGCTATTTTCCCACTCTTTAGTTTCATATTGCATCACTTCATCCAACCATTTATCATTAAGTCGAGTAAATATGTTTTTTACTTTAGTTAGAAAAAAATATATTTTGTTGATAATACCTCTGCTGCAAATTTTTTATTGTAATGAACTATTTTAGTGTATAAAAATAATTTTGAATTAAAGATCTAAATACTTATCTAGCATTGAATCTGTATGACATTATGAACGTTTTGAAATGTATCTATAATAATTTTGTAATTGTATTATTATTATCATTGTTGTTGTTATATTTTGGATGGTATACTTCATCTCTTATTTTAACACAAGGATCAGACCATATTTTATGCATGAGATAAAAATGATATAACAATAGACTAGGTAATTTGACTGATTTAATAGCCCCTCAACCAGTAGATGCTTACTGTGGAAACTTGTTTAGAACGGTGAGATATTAGCAGCTGTAGTATAAACATTAATTCTAAGTTTTGAGACCTCATATGAGATGGCTATGTGTGTGGTGTACTGACGCGCCTAAATGCCCCATACGCATTGTGATTGACGAATTATATTTTGAGCTCTGCTGAAACCAAGAGTCGTTGGCTTTTTAAAAAAAGGAAAATGCTGCATTCCTATTGGCTGGCGGGGCTGTCCTTTTACCGCCAATACATTTAACCATTGACCTACTAACACAGATTCACGAGTCATAAGCCAACTTGAAAGGAAAAAGCCAAGGGAGGAGATAGGTACTTCGCAACTTAGGGTTTTGTCCACTGTTGGTTTCTTATTAACTGATGGAAATCCTACTTTTCCCTGTGCATGATACGTGGTGGAAAGCCAGAGCATCGCTTCCCTCCAGGTGACAGAAAAGGTAAAGTTTTGATTTGACGGTCTTATTTTAATTCACGGCGTTACAAAGATTTCTGTGGGATGTGTTGACGCACCCTGGCGACCACCCCAGAGCCGAGGCGCTGCGTAGCTAAGGTTAGCTTACATTTATCTGTGATGTGGCTAAGCGCTGTGTTTTCTGGCATAAGAACGTAAAACAGTGTCGGTAGCATTCACATTAAGGGCGTAACGTTGACCAGCCTTTAATTCTAGTTTATGTGTATTAATCTCGGCAGACTGATATCCATTAGACTGTACTGTATTAGTAGTATATGGTCGGTTTAAGGGACGTGTATTGGATTTGATACAGGCTCGTAGGCCTACCAGTCACAGGAGTTTACGGATTGCGACAGTGTTGTCACCCGGAGTTTGATGGCAGTCACCTCATCGACGCCTTGTGGCTGCTGTTTGTGCGCTGTTGGCATTGGCTCATTAACCCTAGTAACGTTAACAAATCAATGTTTTCAGTAATGTCATGTATGCTCCCATTGCACGGCTTACTTTTTGGGGCGTAGATGAACCCCACGCTTCAGCCGCCAGTGTCATGAGCAAGAAAGGCAATGATGTCATGTAACAGAGTGAATGTTCACATTGTCTCAGCCTGTTACACAGAGCGGTGCTCATCAAACACGTTTAATAGTTTATTACGAGGTGTCTTTACTTACACACACACAGAGCAGAAGTTACTGCCACACTGGCAAATGTTGCAAACATTATGCAACCATAGAAAATGCTGGTAGTCGAGGCCGGGGTGAATTCGTGTTGTGTAATACGGACACAATGAGGGAATCTGGGGCAGTAGGTGGCGTGGATGGCCCGCTGTTGCCAGGCCGCTCCGGTCCGAGCTGATCTCAGGCCAGTCGCCGTGACCCCACGGTAATACTACGACTTATCTGTCATCCAAGTTTAGTTGGTCATATGTTGCGTCGTTAGAAAAGACGAAATGGAGTGACCATTCCTGTATAACCCAAACCGTATGGTGCAAAATGTCACCATCTGTAAAATGTAACCCCAGACATTTAAAAGTTACAAATACAACAGTGGTAACAGTGGGTTACTCAGCTGGCTGATATTTCAAATGGTAAAATGAAGTATTAAATATAGGTTTGTGTGTGTGGTCATATACAATCACTTTGAAACATATTCCATATGAAAGGTACCAAGCCACAGGCCCACATTTATCTACTTGTCATTTATTAATGGTTTCCTCTTTAATCATTTACTGCCTATATGTAGACCCATGCCAAAGACAAAACGAGGACAAAGTCAGGGGAGACTTATCTGGGAAATCTGAAAGCCTCTGTTGGAGTGTTAGGATGACTGTGTAATGAAGGCCTCAGGTTACAGGCTGTGCTCGAGATTCCACCAGGGCATGTGTTATGATTACAGCCATCTGTAGTCCTTTGTTCCCTCTCTGGGTGTACAAGGGGTTAGAAACCACAAACAGGATGATTTGCCTTTTTAAGTAATGCTCCACTCAGAAACATTAGTTTAAAGAGAAGAGTTGTGTTAAATATGTGGATCTTTATGGTGATAATGTGGTGTAATAGTTCATTTTTACTTCAATAACACTTAATATTCTGAGATCAGTGCTTAACTAACTTTTAAGAAGTAAAAACAGTAAGTACTCAGAAAGAATGTAAGGATTTGAATCTTGCTGAAGATCTGCTTTACAAAATAATGGATGGTCTGTATCTTTAACCTTCATTATATTTGACAACCCTCATTATTTAGTATGCACCTTCATTATTGAGTAATCTGTATTTTTTTGTTCATTTATCAATTAATAAAATGTGAAAAGTGCCCATTACACTTTCCCAGACCCCAAGGTGCCTTAAAGTAGTTTTTCATATAACCCAAAAACCCATAGTTACTATAACAAAGGGGAAAAAAACACAAGTTAATTGATTCACTGATCATCAGAGTAGTTTATTTTCTGTAGATCGACCAATCACTTGACTGTTAGCAGTTAACAAATAATTTCAGCTCTGAAAAACATAACATACATTGAGATAATAATTTAAAAAAAAAACATTATTTTGTCTTGAAGCACATACAAACTACTGGCTCCATCTTAACATTACACGCTTAAAGAGACGCTGGTCAAAGCATATGCAGTTTAGTTTTAAATACAGCAGGACTTTCTTTAATTGATTAGTAGTAAAACAATATTTGCTTGTTCTGTGTACACTTACCAAAATCAAACTTTTGCACCAAATGCTAAACACACAGCAAATCCCCAAATACTCAAATCGACCCACACGATGTTCTAAATCTTAATTGGTTACCATGCATGCAGAAGTGTTTTATCTGTAGGGGATGCTGCCTGGGATACATGCATGCATATGACTGGTTTTGTGCACGTGCATACGAATGTTTATAACAGGCTATAATTGCATATATATAAATACCATGTAAATAACTGAATTTTAGAGTACAAAACAATAACTTAATTTTCCCTTGGGACTGGCTAGAATGTTTCCCAGTGTATCACTGACCATCATTAATTAACATTCATGTTGATGTGGGGGAACATTTAGCAGCTTTTCAGATTCTTTAATTGAAATGGAAATCAAGGATTTGGGGGGGGTAACTCTAAAAAGACACGATTACAGAACAAGTAAAAATAACAAATGAAGCCTCATTATCAGATTTGGACAACGTGTCTAGACTTATACTGAATCATCTGCAATGGAGACTTACCCACCCTAAAGGAAATGCATTACTTTACAAGATTAATTTCATGACTTGAGGAACTTTATGATAACTTGACAGCGACATCTAAAACCTCTTATTTTCTGTTATTCCACAGATTTCCTCCACTGAAGTGGATTAATCGAATGTGGCAGTTACTACTGATGTATACAAGCATTATGGTGTACAGTTAAAGACTTATAAGAATATTGTCAGTAGCAAACAGTGATATTATGCAGTCAGTGAAGCAAGAGGTGGATGCCAGTGACTCCTACAGTGGAGACGATGCCCTGGTTCTGGCTGTGGCCTTACAAGGGGCTAACAGAGACCTAATAGACCACAAATTCTCTGCAGTTCCATTGAAGGCTAAAACTACCTGTCGCCGGAAAAGAGAATTTACCCCAGAAGAGAAGAAAGACACCCTTTACTGGGAGAGGCGACGCAAAAACAATGAGGCAGCTAAGCGCTCGAGGGAAAAACGGCGCATAAATGACATGGTGCTTGAGAACAAGCTGATGGCCCTTGGTCAGGAAAATGCCTCCCTCAGAGCTGAGTTACTGTCCTTGAAGTTGAAGTTTGGCCTGGTGAGCTCTGCAGCATATGCACAGGAAGCTCAAAAGTTATCCAGCTCCACCACTATCAACAACCTCTACCAGGAGTTTGGTCCACCTAGTGCTGACCAAGGTTCTTCGAGCAGGAATATGGAGCCTCTTAATCTGCACAGCAACTGTATATCAGTCATCAAGCATTCACCTCACATGCCACAGACATGCCCTGCCACTCAGAGTAGATTTAGTATCTGCAAGACCGCAGATATCAAGCAAGAACCAGCAGAGAATGGCAGCTATGCACAGGAGAGGAGTAGTCCCTATGAACTCTATGGAAACTATATGGCCAGCACTTCATCTGGAGTCTTCTCTCAGCCTGCTTCATTCCTCCAGATTGCCAGGTCATCCAGTAACTCTCCCAGGAGCTCAGAGGATGGTGCTGTAAGCAAATCATCAGATGGTGAAGATGAGCAGCAGGTTCCCAAAGGGATAATATCATCTGTAGCTAACCCAAGAAGTGTCATTGTCTCTGCACACAAAGTGCCAGATGCCAGTTCCTCAGCTCTGCCGCATAAACTGCGTATAAAGGCCAGAACGATACAAATCAAAGTGGAGGCCATTGACCCTGAATATGAGTTCTCTGGAAAGTCCTCTTCTGTCAGCATTTCAGAACAAGGATGCTACCAGACAACTCAGGACTCTTTAGAGCACACACAGTTCCCCCTGTGCCCTTTATCAGTACAAGTCAACAGCATTCAAGATTGGACCCACCAGTCTGAGCAGTGGCATAAAAGCAACACAGAGATACTTCAGGATGGCTGCAAGAGTAGCAGGCTAACCTCAAGCCCCCTCCCAAACAAAACTGTTGTGGATGTAAAAGAATCTTCCTATGCACACTCTGAGAACCTGTATATAAAACAGGACCTCAGAAGTGGCCTCCTTGATAAGACCTATCTCAACACAGCAAGCCTCTGTGACGGAGTTGACCAAAAGCACTACTGACCATCAGTAGTCACTATCAAAAAGATGCTCGCCTGAATGAGCTTTGTGTGTTTTGCATTTCCAATTTTTTGCCATTGCACTGTGTGGTTTATATTAGAGTTAAATAAGATTTGGATTAACGTACATTTTCAAATGATGGCATGGTCTCAAACAACTTTTGAGAGCACAAACACTCTGTTTGCTAATATAGGCTAAGTAGGGGTGGAATACTGTACTACAGTAGTTCACATGGTAAATTCAGCATAATGTGCAAATTCACCACAATAAATCCATCACTCCAACAACACAGTTATACCACACTCAGTAATCTGCCTTTCAGTTTCTGCAACACAGATACCGTTTTCATTTACTTCTTATTTCTAGCTTCTTTTTTTTTCTTTTTGGACCACAGTTAACTTGCCTTTGAGGAAACTATGAAAGTAGTTTTTGGGATATTTGCCTTTATTTCACACAGCTTGGTCAAAGAGAGGCTATTAATGGCACTTCACACTTCTTTCTAATGTTTGTATTAAATGCTTCCCAGGAATGGATGGAATAATGATGAAAGGCTTTTAATGTGAAATATCTATGTTGGAATAATGACTTTCACTGATAACATTTTGATCAGGGGTTGTAAAAAAAAAACCAGCAATGTGAAAGTGAGTGGACTTAATTAAGAACTGAAAACATTATTTCTGCTAAAATGAACAGGAAAAAGGTGTAGCAGAGTGGTGTGTAGCCTATGGCCTGACTGTTTTACCAATTAAGTTATTGCAGACATTCACTATGGTGTTCCTCCATGTTTAACAGATAAACACACTGTTGTTTGTGTTACCAGCTAATTGAGGTCGATAAGAAAAGAGGGAGACCTTTTAATAAAATGTGATCAAATATAGTCATGAAACGGACTTGGAAACAATGGCCTGTCCATTCGACCTGTTTCAAATAAACACCAGGTTCTCTGCAGTAGCGGTAGCCTCACTTCAAGATATCTGGGCACTATTTGTAGATGGACAATTTATGTGTGATATGCATCATTAATACATAGGATATTACGTGTGGATCTTTTATTTTTCTTTTACAAAATTCTTATGACTGCTGTTGCTGTACCAGTATACACCTACTATGATGAATACTGTTGTGTTTTGATTTTAAAATGTTCCCAAAGGTTCGAAGTCTGGCCGTTCTTTGCCTTAAAGCCTGAACTTCATAATTTTTTTTACTGATGTAATATGGTTATTGTATCAGTTTGTTTAGTGACAGATTTACAGTGGCTGGAGATGCATATTTCTGCTTAAGATAAATGTTCTGTAGTGCTTTATTTTATTTATTTTGTTGAGATGTGTAATTTCTCAGTATTTGTCCAATAATTTTCAAGATATTTTCTAGAAAGAATGAGGGTACTGATGGAGGAAAAATGGTTAATTGGTACACTTCCAGTTACTTATTACCTATTTAAATTAACTGATAATGTAACCTAGAGGTTCTTTAGTCAGCTGGAAATGCAAAAAACATGATTTGTCTACACACAGACATAACCAAACACATATGGAGAACTAAGTTTCCAATAATAAACAAATATATACTTAATTTGTAGCTTACATTGGAGCTTTTCTTTCGAGGACATCTATTTTTTCTACAGCGTCAAATTGCATCTTTTTAGGAAACTTTCTAGGAATCAATTAGAAAGTCACCACCATAAAATATAGCAATCTGGGCCTCTTGTCCTGGCTGGCAGTATTAATGTCCTGTACCTTCATTACTCAAGTAAACAGTACTGTATTCTTGTATGTGTTGGAGTCAATGACACCACATTGTCACTGCATTCCAACAGTGTGCTGAAACAACTTCACAAACACCACACTAGACAATTATTTCCTCTGTTGTGGCTTAAAGATTATGGCTTTAACCCAAGCTTCCTCTAACTTTTACAGCTCTGCTGCATTCACTAGCAGACTATTTTAGTACTATTGTCTAATTAAACCTTGCAGGCCACTGTTTAAACCAAGAATGGATGCAACACTGACTGGAGAATTGTGATTACTATCTGATAAAAGTGACAAGAGTTTTACACTAGATGTGTTCTAATTTGACTGGATAAAGCTCTGTGATACATTCTCCCTTCAATTTGCGAACAATTAACATTTGTATTATCAGAGAGTCTCCAGAGATCCTTAATTGTACTGTTACTGTTCTTACAATTGTACCATTAGATGTTGTGAAATCCAGAACCGTCAGGATTTATCATCCATTTGGGGTGATTACATCATACCTCATGGTGTCAATAAAAAATGCTGACTTCAGACAGGCCTAGTTGATAGAAGGTATAATAACGCATTTAATTTCAGATGAATGGTGTGTGCATTTGTTTTCATATTTTGGAACATCTCAATGATGAAGATGACTTTATTTTCTCCACAGGCTGAAGGCCAGAACACTTTCTTGTCAATTTTTATTCACAATAAACAACTTGTCACTGAAATGTGTAGGCTTCTTTCTCTGTTTTTCTGAATATAGTTACTACAAAAAAATAAGTTTTGGTGCAAAATAACTACAGTCCACAGAAACAGGCTGCCGGTACTGTAGTCTGAAAGATACTGGATGTTTGTAGGCTGATATTAGTATTGTACATTATGTTAATGTAACCCTTATATTTTAGAATAAAAAAAATCTGATAAATTAACTTTTGGCTTTAAAATCTAAAGTCATATCTTAATGAAGTTGAGTCTCAAGGCAAGTGAAGTGAAGCTCTGCTTAGTTATTTCCCAACCATTAAAACTATTGGAAGCACTCGAGTCTAGACCTAAGGATTAGAAAATACATTTAAATCTACCGTGTGCATTGTTTCCAGAGTCACAGAGCTTCACTTTTGCTTTTCTATAAAACGCTCTCAGGTGGTTTACTGTGAAAGTCTCAATGACTAGTTCCAGCCCCATTTCCCTTTTTTCATTGTCTAAGTGTGTATGGAAACTGACACCAAGTAAGAAGAATCATATCCAAAGACATGCAGCTTAGGTTGATTGGCGACTCTAAATTGCCCGTAGGCGATTGGGTGATTTCTAGTGCAATGTGCGCAAACCTGGCAACCTACTGGCAGACCAGCAAAGGGAGAGGTAGTGTCGCTGAATGCAGCTTTGGAGGGGTCTAGTCTAAAAATAGTAACATTAGGCTGCAATGATTATGTTGTCAATGACTGTAGTAGGAAGAGGAGAGTGGAGTGCAAAGTTTGCAGTTCAAGAATCAATGACACAGACATCACAACATCCAGCTTCATCCGTCACTACAAGACTCAAAGAAAGGTAAGCAACGCTACGTGAATGTCTTTGCAGCTAACGTTAGCTAACCTGTTGGCTGGTCAAACATTAGCTAGACAACTAAAATTAGGTTTAGGCGGGTAGACTTGGAGTTGAATTGCAGTCCCACGTGCACAATGATTCTGCTATGTTTTCATTAGCAGTGAAATCCCTTGCACCCAACTAAGCACTCCCTTTTCCTCGTTAAGCTGCATTAACCAATAACCGCTAAGTGATTTATTTCTGTCTCAGCTGCTACTCAGCACTAGGTGTAGAGGGCAGGCAGGGCGACGTTCTAAAAACAGGTCCAGAACAGTATAGAATAATGTCGAACATGTTGGGTTTGTTTTTGAATCAGTCTCTTTTCCTGGGTGCAGCTGGTCACGTGATAGAACGCATTCCTACTATTGGTTAACGCAGCTTAGCGGGAGGAAAGGGAGCGCTTGGTTTGATGCAAGCCATCTCCCTGCTAATGCAAACACAGCAGAATCAGTTATGTGAGACTGAGATCGCAGAGGGATCTAAATCATGCTCACCAAACGATGTATGGTGCAGCCCTAGTAAGGTATATATACCTTGCTATGTAAAGTGCCCTGAGATGATTGTTGTTGTGAATTGGCACTATACAAATAAAACTGCATTACTTTATTTCCGTATAGATTAGTGGTTAGGGCGCAGGGCTCTCGCTGCTGGGCCCGGGTTCGAGTTACATTTTAAACCCATGCAGGTTAAGTGGTGACAAAAAAAGGTGTGAATATGAAATATTTGTCTGTTTCTATGTGTTGTTCCTGTGATAGACCGATGACCTGCCCAGGGTGTCACACCGGCTCTTGTCCACTGTCGGCAAGGATTGACTTATCATCATGATTACTTATGGAATGTTTATGTTCACAAAGTTTTTAGACTGCATTTTGTTCTACCAACATAAAGTAAAGCACATTTACATTTCAATAAATAAACTACAAAAGGAGCATTTTATGTGATTCTGCCCCTGATGGGAGTATTTCTGCCGGTTGGTGGATGCACAAAAGTATTACCTCTAATCATAAAGTTAAAATGTACACAACCATTACAAGGAAAACTGCCACTAGGTATCTTGAGACGTTGAGCCAGGAATGATAGAACAAAAATCTAAAGATGATGGAGCAACAAACTCCAAACAAAGAAAAACTGGAGAACAGTGAAAGAGTTGAAATATTTAGCAGCATCAGTAGTGAATATAAAATAAATAACCAAATGGTGCATGCAATTTCCTAAGCGGGTTGTGTGAACAAATTTGCTCTAAATAATGGTTGGTGAACAAGACCCAATGTTTTTGACAGACTGAGAAACAGGGCTGTATGTTGATACAAAAGTAATACGTGATTGTTTCCTGTCAGATTTAACAGCCAACAGTTCATTACAATCAATGGATTTCAGTTTATCAAAAGTTTTATCCAACAAGGATTTGCTGTAACCCTGTGCTTCAAAACTTTCATACAGTTCTTTACTTTGTCAAAAAAGGTCTTTTTGATGATCATGTGATCCATGAATCTCCTGATTGAGTTCTAGAGTTCTCACCTGTACTTGGGTAGAGCATTGCTGCTGGTTTGCACGCTGAGGAACTGGTGTCCTGTTTTTTTCCATTGTTCTACTGCTCAGTACTATACCATGCCTCCCTTTCCTCAGCAAGTGGCATTAAATGTTTTTTGCACCACCTGATACCTGGTTCAACTCGACTCTCCTTGGCTCATTTCACTTTTGGTACCAGGTGCTGTTTTCCCTTGCAGATGGTACTCCCTCAGTGTAACTGGTTGTCACAGCGACACCGCACAAAACTGCTGTGACATTGCCGTCCCACAGAGGTGGCAGTGCCGTGAGTGAGTCAAAGCTGTTTTAATTTTAATTCTAGAACTGTTATTATGCCACTTTATTAAGCTTTGGTATTTTTTCAGGCAAGAAAATGAACATCTATTTTTATGTGGTCAATCTATCCAACTAATGCTAATTTAGAAATTTGCTGCAATGTTTTCAATGTGATGACCTAATGTGCCAGCTACCTATCTGTCCTTCACAGACACAGCTGTTGCCATTGTGCTCATTTTATCACATTCAGTAACCTATTGGCTATGTGATGATGTGACAGAGGATCCAGGCCTCTGTCATCATAAATATTACCCTATTTAACACTTGAGAGAAAAGTGGCAGCAGAATGAGTGACTGGTGTCATCACATGTAAACATCTGGGTTAATTGGTGGCAAGAAGGCCACATAGAGATGAATTGTTAATCTATAGTGTTTACATATCACTGTTTAGCCTCACCGCTTGGAACTTCGACAGAAGTGATGCCAAAAATAGTACCAGGTACTATTCCCAACATTTGACTGATGAAAAAACAAATAAGGCGAGTAAAGTCGATTTGAGCCAAGCTGGTACCAGGTGGTGGAAAAGGGGCTTAAGAGAGGGAGGTATTGTACAGGCTAATGGTCGGAGCATTCAAGCATTCCATGGTGCAGCTTGGTGATGTAAGTCTCTTGGATGTAGTGGATAAGGATAAGCAGTATACATAGCTGATGGATGGATGGACGTGTAAAATGTGTGTGTAGAGACCTATTCGATGTCATTATAGCATGTTAAAATTACTGTAATGGCATAAACTTTAATACAGGAAACCTTGAGGGGAAAAACAAGACTTTAATTATTTCATAGACACACCTCTGGTGTTATTGTGTTGGGAATGCAGTACATTTCTACCAAAGTAAAAAAGCAGTAAACTGATGCATTATTCATGTGAATCACTCACAGAACTTCATGGAAATCTCAATAGATCTTGGATTGACCCATTACTTAAGGAAGCAACGTTTAACTAAACTGCTAATCATACTGCCAATAGCTATAATCTTTTAAAATTTCTTTTAGATAGATACTTTTAAATATTGCAAGCAGCTGTCAGTGCTTGGTTAGCTTGCTTGATTTCTCAAAATCTTCAAGTGGCAGTTGACCCATCCAGCACAGGCGTTACACTTTAGAGTAACATTTAAGTCACTGGCAGAAACACCAGCCAGGTCTGTCCTGCGGTCAAAGAGACGTCCTGTACTGGAGAGCCTGTGCAGGTAGATGTAGAGTTTCACCCCTAAATTTGTTGGAAGCAGTGGAAGATTTGAAGAGCTGAAGACAGAGCTCTGTTTTCTGGGTGGATTGTGGCCTCACTCCCCCTTGTAGTTAGGCTGTCTCTTCTCCTTGAATGCAGCCAAACCCTCCAACCGATCCTTAGTTGGTATCACCTTGAAGACAACACAAATGTGTCAGTACTAAAAAAGTTGCACCTCTTTTTTTGAAGTCCTAAAATTAAAGCGGAAAAATGGGAATTTAGCAAGTTAGCTGCAAGCAAAGCAGTGAAAATGTCACATTTATGCAAGTTTGTTCCTTTGGCTAATAAGTGTTGGGGGAAAAATGCTTGTATCATCTCCATTACTGGTGGCTTCTGTTGCCAGATGGTAAAGATCATTGTGGATGACCCAAGGAAAATACAGCTGTAGGCATTCAAAATGCTGCATTCTGCAACGGTAAGTGGCCACTTTTATCGCCACTGTGCTCCATGTGTTAAGCAGTATGTCTGTAGGTGGCGCTCAGCTTACACTCACAGGTACACCACTCTGTGTATACACAAATTATAGCCCATTCTATAATGAATGCCTACTTAGAAGTTAAAAGGCCCTGTGGTCAGCATTTGCCGTAAACTGTTAAAAGGCCCTGTGGTCAGCATTTGCCGTACACTGTTATTGTGTGGATTGGGATGTTAGTTTACTGTAATATTGAAGATTTTCATTTCAGGTCATGAGGACAGATCAGCCTGCCCTCTCTCCTAAAACGTTCTATGCAGCTAACCTGCAAACACACGTTTTGGATTATATACAATTCCAAGATGAGAAAATTCGCAAAGCTAGACTTTCAATCAAAACAAGAGGTAATAACTAAAGGAAGACCAACACCGGAGCTGAAAGGTCTGCTTCAAACGGTGTGGTACACCCGAAAAACTTTTATCATTTCAAATGAAATATGCGTCACATGCTTGTGAAGAATGCTGGTATGAGATATAAAACATAACACATTGTCTGTTGTCAATCACATGATGAATAAAATACTCTTTTGGGTTCATTTGTATTTGTAAATCTGACTCAAAGAATCAGTGCCTGACCAGCTGTCAACCTCACCGCACGTCACTGGCTAGTTGGCTATAGTCTGTGTGGTGTGTGCAAGTGCTACTTTTTCAACCCCACTGGCCCAAAGATGACGCAAAATTTGGCCGAAACGCTGCTGCTAGTTCATTCACATCAGCTTGGAGTGTCTCTGCCCATAGTGTTTACAGCACCACATATTACCAGCGTTAAGAGTTATGCTACATTTTATAAATGTAACAAGTCTTAGCCTGGCTGACCTAATAAACTGACAACCAGCTGGGCAAGCAATTGTGAACTGAACTGTTTAAATGCTCACCTGGGCATAGCATGCTTCTTCAATTGCCAGACCTGTAGATAAATCCACCTAAAGGAGAATGAGACATTTCTTAGTGAATGTTCACAATACAGCTCAAAATGTCTAGATACTACTTTCCTTCTCCTATGTGACTCAGTCCTGATGCTTTCTAATTTTGTTGTGTTGGCACCTATTGTTAGAAAATGTTCTGCCGCAGTCTTTGTCAACCAAAACCGGTTGTGAAGGCTTTGCATTTGTCACCTTTAATGAGCTGTAACACCACAGCAAAACCTGCAATATACCACGGTCTGTCTTTAGCTTGTCCTTAGTTGAATTAACTGGAGCAAAAGATATAAGCACTGTGAGTAACGGGAGGTGGGACTATAGTCACTGTAGCGGGGTATGTGTAAACTGTCTGAGACAAAAGTGAGAAAGGGCAACTGGTATCATGTATCGATACTATATAAAATATAGTATTAAAACATTGTCAAATATTCAGAATTACATTGTATATTTTTGACAACACTACTAGACAAATTCTAAAACAAATTAAACATGTTGGCTATGACAACCACTACACCATTATAATAAAAGGTTGGTAGAAAACTTGGCGCAGGCCAGTGTTGCTGGTGTCAAAGAATAGGACTGGGGCATATGCAAGGGTCAGGGGCAGGGCCAACGGCCAAGGAGACAAAATTTTGGATGAGTAAGGGAGTGATTTTTTTTTTTTTTTGAAGACAGGAATGAGACACAATTATTGCCACATCAACGAACAATAAAAGAAGCTGGAAAGAATGTCCATACAGCCTATGATGCTGTTGACTGTGAAACCGAGCCAAGCAAATGATAAAATACTGTTAAGAGGAGTCCTGCACTGACCTCTGAAACTTACCTCCATGCCCTGGTTGATTGCCAGTTTTGCCATCCTTATTGCAACTGGACCCTGTGGAGTCAAAGCTTACAAGGATTCATAAATTGCTGTGTGATAAAACATTGCTTTATTAAACTGTTCTAAATTAGTACAATATTATAAAGCATTATTCTAAAATTATTCAGGGACTTAAATAAGCAAAAGCTCCTGGTTAAGTCATGACATTGCTAGATAATCACTTTTTTCTCAGTGTATACCTTCCGTGATACAGAGGAATGCTTCTCAGTGGCATGTTACCTGAGGGTTGATTTCACGAGCGAGCTCCAGAGCCCGCAGGTAGGCAGCATCTCCACTCTTATTCTGCTCCACAGAATGACTGACAAGACCCAGACGAAATGCCTCTGTTCCATCCACCGCCCTGGCAGCAAAGATGAGCTCTTTAGCAAGAGAGACGCCAATTATCCTTGGGAGCCGCTGTGTACCACCTGCACAGGAGAGATGAGGAACCTGGATGGAACGTGATGATCACACATTGAACCATCTCACCTGGCTCTTTTCTCTCTCTGCTGTCTTTACATGCTGTTTTTGCCAGACTGGCCTGTGACTTTGAAATGAAATTCACTGTTGAATATATATAATAAAAGTTTACATTACACCAGAAAGCTAATATTAGCAGAATCCTTGCCCATTTACACACCATCATAACAAAACAGAAGTATTATTGCCTGTGATTTTTAACAAAGCATGCTTAAAGTGCCCTACCAGAGGAAGTAACACACTTGCCTGTGCATACTCAAACATAGAAAAGGTTTACAGAGCAGTGCTCTCCCTCATTTGGGTGAGTCAGACCACCTCTCACTGCTCCTCATTCTAGCATATATCGCTCCAAGGAGGAAATCAAAGACAAAAAATCTGCACTAAGGGAGCTCTCTTTCAGCCACAAGACTGTTTTGCACAAACTGAATTGAATCTATTTGAACACCAAGGCTTAGGAGAATACACACAAACAGAACAGTTTTATAATCACAGGCTGTGTTGACAATGTCACTGTGAACAAACACATCAGGGTTTTTCCTAATCAAAACCATGGATGACAAAAGAAGTCCACTCACTCCTCAGGGTCTGTGACACCCCTTTCAAGTCAGGGGACTGAGCCTTGTATAGCTTTGCCAAAGTTGACCTGAGAAGAGGCAAAGATACCAAACAGGCTCATAAGAGGACAACTGAGAACAATGTCGTGAACAACAACCCAAGATGGATCAGAGCAGGTCACCAACAATAAGGGCAGTAAACCAACAAGCATCAAAGAAGATGAATCTCTGGCAGAGAAGCTTAACTACTTTTTTCACAACTTAGAGATTAAAAGACCCAATTAAGACACCCCGACTCCACCTGTTACCACCACCCAAGCTTTCACTCTACAGGAATACGAAGTGAAAAAAGTGCTCAGATTGGTGAATCTGATGAAGGCTGCTGGCCCTCCTGGGAAAGTACTCAGACAATGTGCTGACCAGATCTCAGCAGTCTTCACTAACATCTTCAACTTATTCCTAGCACAAGTCTTCATTCCAGGTTTTATTAGCTGTGAAGACAACTGACATTTTCTCTACAGCCTCAGAATTACATCATCTCCTACTAAAATACGCAATACATTAACGATTTTAATTTCAAAAACACTTTGTTTCATACATATTTTGGACTGCGGAGGTCACCGTTATTTTAGGTGCGCAATGCGTTTTGAGTTGATATAAATTGGTTGCAGTTTGTCAGTGAGCTAATAAAGCTAACAGTGCTTTTTACAGGCATACAATGGGAAAATTTGTGATGGCATCTATTTAAACTCTAGCAAGTGGAATGTAGATATTATCTGGGCAGTACAAAGACAAGCCTAAACCTGAAGTTATGAAATTTAAAAATCCAGCCTTACCTGCTCCAGGAATAATCGCAAGTTTAGTCTCAACTAGTCCCATTTTTGCAGTATCAGCTGGAGAGATCAAAGAGCAGTATTACTATTTACACATAAATTCTACTACGACTAATATAAATGTATTATAAAAAAAAAAATCAAAGAAAGTAAGTTGAACAATTAACTCCAATAACATCATTATGTATGCATTCAGTACTCAGGAACAGAGAAACGCAAGTACTATAAAAGTTTTCCTTCACATAGGGTAGGCCAACAGTGGTCATTGTCACTGGCATTAGTAGGAATACCTGCTACGATGATGCATCCACTGACTGTCAAAACTATGTCATGTTACATTCATCAACTTTTCAGACCCTTTAAGGTTTTCCCAATTTGTTTGCTTTGCCTTTTCATGGTATTTTGCACCGTCTGTTTATAGGAGGTAGGAGCTGTGCTCCTCTCACACACACACAGCTGAGCAAAGGATGTGAAGGATCACTCCACAGTGCAACAATCAGCCAGTAACAGAGACTTTATGAGCAGTTTATCAAACAGCCGTTGAACAAGCAGAACACAAACTTGCAGAGATGTGACGTCTTCACAGCTTTGGCTGTGGTCCACTCTCTCAAGTCCCTGTTTTACCCCTAAACCAACAAGTTATTGTCGGTCATGTCTGTTGTATTGATTAGCTTTCAAACTTATATCAGCATGATTCCAAATGCCAGCAGTAGGTTTACCCCTTGGCGGAGGCTTGCACTCTGAGTGCTGCCTAGTTACTAGTGCCACTGACAGTGATCACTTGCTGACAATCTGTTGCTATCTACCAGTAGCTACAAAATAAATTTAGCATTAGCATGATACTATTCAGGCACAGAATACAGTGATGACCTCTTTCCTCTTTCCACAATGACATAAAATTGTTTTAACACAAAAGGGTAATTATCTCTGCCACATATCTTGTAGTAAAGGCATGCGCGACACCCCTGCCTAGCCACTGCCTGTCACTCACCAAGCTTGGGCCAATCAGGGTGCACCTACAGGCAATTTAGAGTCACCAATTAACCAAACCTGCATGTTTGAAGCCAGACTACCTAGAAGAAACCTATGCAGGCAACATGCAAACCCCAGACTGAAAAGCCCAACATGTCTTATTTTAAAACGTACTCGCCATTTTATTCAGTTAGTGTCAGCTGTTACTGATTTTACTGATTTCTAAGGCTTGTCAACCAAACTTCTTAATGCTAAAAACATTAGCAGAGTTTTGCACATAAACCAAAGACACATATATCTGTAACCTCAAAATTATGTGGACTGAGTCTTACATGCAATTCTGATGTCACAAGCAAGGGCCATTTCTAAGCCTCCTCCTAGGGCAGCTCCATCAATTGCAGCAATTGTTGGTATTGGTAGGTTACCTGTAAAATAGAAGCCAACATGGTACCAATCAAGAGACATACAGTACATATTAAACCAACTACAGACACAGCCATCTTAAATTGATGGCTGGTCCATGACAAAGCCTTGGCTGATGTAGTGAGTGCAGCACCAGCTTATTAATTCCCCTAAGCACCATAAGATGCTCGTAGCCAATCTTTGCCCCACCCATCACATCCTGTTTCCTAGTGAGGATGAAAAGCACAGATGCCTGGTCGAGACAAAGTACACAGAATGCAGCCTCCAGTCCAAAGCTAGCCAAAACCATCCATAAGTGAACTTTTCATTACACTCAGGTTTTCTGAATCATTATCCATCCAAAACTCTAAAATTCAGACATAATCAACTGGGATGTGGTCTGTTTTTCAGGTGAGAAGATAAGTCAAGACAACAAGCATCTGTTCTGTGATAATAATAGTATCAGCAACAATATTATCCCTGAAGAATAAAAACACCAATGAGCTGAAAGCAATAACTATTTATGCTGTTTTCACTTGTTCCAATTTGTGTCATCAATAAATTGCTTTTTCAAAGAAATAACACCAAAATTACATGACATCTGACAGTCAAATAAATGTCATCATTAAATAGGAAAAGAGTGAAAATGAACATGCATCACCCTTTACTGTGATCACCACAGCAAAGTCACTAAAGCTGCAATAAATTCACCAACACTTTCTGAATTCCACCGTTCCTTTCAGTCTTTACCCAGCTCTGTGATGAGTGCTCTTGCTTTGGACACAAATGGTCCTACTTCACTCTGGTGCATCTTGGCCCTCTCCTTCAGGTCTGCACCTGAAAACAGTGAAAGCATTGGCCCAGAGGTCTGTGGTTTCCTAAAACATGCAGCATTTTCAATATGAAATCTTATACACATACAGTGGGTACGGAAAGTATTCACACCCCCTTAAATTTTTCACTCTGTTATATTGCAGCCATATGCTAAAATCATTTAAGTTCATTTTTTTCCTCATTAATGTACACACAGCACCCCATATTGACAGAAAAACACAGAATTTTTGACATTTTTGCAGATTTATTAAAAAAGAAAAACTGAAATATCACATGCTCATAAGTATTCAGACCCTTTGCTCAGTATTTAGTAGAAGCACCCTTTTGAGCTAATACAGCCATGAGTCTTTTTGGGAATGATGCAACAAGTTCACACCTGCATTTGGGGATCCTCTGCCATTCCTCCTTGCAGATCCTCTCCAGTTCTGTAAGGTTGGATGGTAAACGTTGGTGGACAGCCATTTTCAGGTCTCTCCAGAGATGCTCAATTGGGTTTAAGTCAGGGCTCTGGCTGGGCCATTCAAGAACAGTCACGGAGTTGTTGTAAAGCCACTCCTTCGTTATTTTAGCTGTGTGCTTAGGGTCATTGTCTTGTTGGAAGGTGAACCTTCGGCCCAGTCTGAGGTCCTGAGCACTCTGGAGAAGGTGTTCGTCCAGGATATCCCTGTACTTGGCCGCATTCATCCTTCCCTCGATTGCATTAATGAATTGATTGAATTAAGGCCAAAAAGTTCTATCTTGGTCTCATCAGACCAGAGAATCTTGTTTCTCACCATCTTGGAGTCCTTCAGGTGTTTTTGAGCAAACTCCATGCAGGCTTTCATGTGTTTTACACTGAGGAGAGGCTTCCGTCGGGGCACCCTGACATAAAGCCCCGACTGGTGGAGGGCTGCAGTGATGGTTGACTTTCTACAACTTTCTCCCATCTCCCGAATGCATCTCTGGAGCTCAGCCACAGTCATCTTTGGGTTCTTCTGTACCTCTCTCACCAAGGCTCTTCTCCCCCGATAGCTCAGTTTGGCCGGACGGCCAGCTCTAGGAAGGGTTCTGGTCGTCCCAAACGTCTGGAGTGGCTTTACAACAACTCCGTGACTGTTCTTGAATGGCCCCGCCAGAGCCCTGACTTAAACCCAATTGAGCATCTCTGGAGAGACCTGAAAATGGCTGTCCACCCACGTTTACCATCCAACCTGACAGAACTGGAGAGGATCTGCAAGGAGGAATGGCAGAGGATCCCCAAATGCAGGTGTGAAAAACTTGTTGCATCATTCCCAAAAAGACTCATGGCTGTATTAGCTCAAAAGGGTGCTTCTACTAAATACTGAGCAAAGTAGGTTAGACGGTCTACAGCTGAACAAATGGAATGACTGTCAAAATCCCTCCAGTGACATAAACAAGGAGAACGTACCTGCACAAAAGATCCCAGGAACCAAACTGCATAAAATAACACTGCGCACTTTGTTATTATTCTTGATATCGTCCAGGGCCTCAAACATCTGAAAGAGAAAAATGACCTTTTTTTTGATTGGTAAGGGTTTTTACACACATAGCCACAGTTGGTATGATAAAGGAAACTTACAGGTCATCTGCAGAGCTAGATCAGACTGGCATTGATCTGTTCTGTCAAACCCGCATCACTTGACCTATATAGTGTCTATTCAGAGTCTAATGAGCTCTAATTTCATCAACGTTTTCCATGAGCTCATCACTTCATTTACATTAAGTGCCTCTGAATTCTCTGATTTGTATTTAAATGTAATGGTAACATCAGTGTGTTTTGAAATGGGCTGTGCCTCTGAAGTTTTACTGTTACAGGTGCTTTATAAAATGGCCCACAGAACAAAAAAAAAATGGTATTTTTAGGAATTTAATGTAATATTATAGCTAAGATTTCATAAAAAACGTATTAGTAATTCCATTTACATGAGTTTTAGATTGTAGCAGCTATACGTATGTGCTCCATGTAACAACATGTGGTCATACACCAAGAATAGCTGAGACATCCAAGATACCTACTTACAGCAAAGTGTATGTGTATTTCAAACATGACCTTTCTCCTAGGTTGTGCAATGTCCCATGTAGCCCTAAAGTCTGCATTTTTGCCTCTGTGTAAGGAGATATATGTTTTTACAATCAGCATGAAATGCAACTACAATAGGCTAGATTCAGCATGCAGATGCAAAGGGTTTCTCTAGCCACTATAAGTACCACCTGTAGAGTACAGAGAGAAGGGGAGAGAGAAAATGTACGTTTAGGTTTCATATATCTGTCTACGTTGCTGATAATCTCACTCGAGTTTGTGAAAGTAAACCTCCTGAATGGGAACTCTTGAGTCCTAGTTTTTGTTTCAACATCCACGCAGACTGAGACACAAAGCTCAGTCTTTCAAAGTATTTAAAAAAAACAATCCATGAAAACATCTCCGTGTTCTCGTAAGTGTATGAGCACTCTGGACATGCAGAATTTTTGCATTACTTCTGTTATTTGTGTCTTCTTTTCCATTTAAAAATAAACAGAAAGGTAAATAGTAATACATACCATTTTGACCAGATTTTTGCTGATGGCATTTTTGGCTTTTGGCCGATTTATCCCAACAACAACAATACCTGAAAGACAGTATTAAGTTATGGTGATTAACAGTGCCACGCAGGTAACAGATTAAAGAAGATCAGCATGTTGACATCAGGTAAACAATGTGTTACAACTAGAAAGCACAAGCATCTTCTACCAATATTATATTATGAAAAATGAAATGAGATTCTATACTGACTTTAGTACAATATATTGAGTATACTGTTTTTGTACTTTTTACACTGTTAGACTTTATTTCTTTGTTTATGCTGCAGTGCCAGTCACAACATAGCCTGATAATAATTTACAAAAGATTTAACAGTCCTACCCACAAATCAACAATACTTTGTAAAAATAAAATTCCACACACCAACATACTTAAATGTTTTTTTTTTTATTTTAAACAGGATACCATACATGGCTCCAGACTTTCACTAGCAACTCTTTACTAAAAATTTCAAGATCAGCAAAACATTTAGCAGTACCACTTACATCGATAAAGTAACACATTTGTATTTTTTACAACTTAGCTGTATTACTGACAAATGGTTAACAATAGTTAATTTACAGAAAAGTGTGCCGTTTTATTTTAAAGACCCACTCATTTCTTTTATTTATTTTTATACCCCTATACTGTATATAGGTCTAAATTCAGCTAAACTGATAACAGCTACTGAGAAAATCTGTAATATTAAGCTTCAGCCCAATGAATTCCTTTGGTATTAAAGCACAGATTATAAAAACTTGGAGGAATTATTTTAGAGCCAGGTACATTTTTTCAAATAGCTCAAAAAATGGTGCTCTTCATTAAATTTTTCATGTCACAATGGGTCACAGTAAGATGTCACAATGGGCAACGTGCCTGTAGTCCCAGGATTCTGGCAGTTCTGCAAAAGGAACATAGTAGTGGGAGTTTAACGGCTTTTTTAAGTTCAGTGTAAAAGGGTTCAATCAAAAAAGCCACAATGAAGGAGGGTCAAAACTCTGGCTGTTTGCTTCGATCTCTATGTAAAAGGGGTTTGTGTGTGTGTGAGGGGAGCACAGCCCCTCTCTCCTCAAAACAGAAACCGACAGAGGAAACAGTGAAAAACAAAACAGGACGGTACACTTCAGTCCACAAGGTTATGCCCTATGACAGTTAAGGGAAGCATGGGGTGTACTGCTCGTTAGGTCCTGACAATGGAAATGCCCTTATTAAAAACAAAAAACTGAAGTGATGAAGCTATTGAAAGAAACATGGTGTGATACCTTTTGTGTTCACACTGGAAGATACTGCTTAAACAAGTGAAAGCTGTGCACAGTGAAACAATATCCCTATTTTAAAAAAGAGCTAGTTTGAAGGGTTTAAGATTATGATGAAGCTACTGAAAAACAACACCTTAAATACGTTGTGTTCATACTATAAGATTTTTTTTTTTTTTACAAGTGAGGGTTGTGCACATGTGAAATGATGCCTTTATTTTATTTCCAGTAAGCTGGTTTGAAGTGCAAGATGAAACATGAAGTTTTATTAAACTGTACAGATAAAATGTGGAAGGTATGATAGAAAAGAGAAACAACACTACATATAATTTAGGGACGATCCCTAATTTCAACTAGGCCTAATCATTCTCCCAGTGGTTTGTGGTTCACACAGGGTTTGTACGCAGCTACACCTAAACACCGGGTTGAGTGTGTGAAACGTCAATTGGGCAACATCAGAAAAGCTCTCTCAACAAATCGGGCAACGGTCGATGGCGTCTCTTATCCTCTTCCTCTACTGAGGATTAGCCTCATCGACTGTCTGAATATCCAACGTCAAACTATCTACACCAAGCTACAGGATATGAGTGTTTGTCTTGACTGTCAAGCCCACTGTTCCCATCTGCTTTCCAGGAGAGGCTCACGTTTCGCGGTCAGTTCCCGTCTGTCGAAATGCTAACATGACAGCAAGATCGATTTCCCCCTGGCTATCTTGCAATTAAATGGGCCTGACTCTGAACGGAACTTACCGGCGTCTTCTCCGTTCAGGTATCTGACGCGCAGATCATCCTTCGACTCGGAGCTGTAGTGTCGTGTCACTAATGCGTGACCGTTCAAGCGACAAATGAGCGAGACGTTTTCGGAGAACACATTCTGTCTCAAGCAGGACAAGGCAGCTATCAGTTTACACGCGCTGTCCTGACCAGTTGCCCGCGGTCGAAAGACGTGCAAGAAGGTCCTGCTTCCCACCAGGAACGCCATGCTGAGAAGCTGCAGTCCTGTTTGACTTTCAACTTCGAACCCAGTCACGTTTTGTGTCCACGTCATCGCGCATTCTGAGATGCGTCTCACTCGCCGCCATATTACATCGGTCTGTCTCACCTTTCTGCCCATTCCAAGTAGTAAAAAATGCCATCTTTTATAGAGGAATATTTTACCACAAATTTAAAAGAAAATTAAATAGAAAAACGAACATTTTCCAAATAGAACATTCTACTTTACTTTTAATAAATGCAACGCTTAAAATTTTCCAAATGTGATATTTTCCATTTGGAAAATGCCCTATTTTCATTTTCAAACTGCATATATAAATTAGGTACACAACTGATGGGTGGTCTTTACCATTAGGGAAGATAGGCATTTGCCTGAGGGCCCCAAATAAGAGGAGCCCCAAAGATCAGAAATGTTTTATGATGTTTTAAAACATATATACCAGATTAATTTCTTATTCAGAGATATATATATAACCTCTGCAGTAACTTACAATGCACTCAAAGCACCTCATTTATCATGCACCCACTTACACATGACAGGTAAATGGACTATTTCATTTCTAGATGTGCCACTGCGACTGTGCACCAAATGTAAACACACTGGTGTTCAAGCTTTGACTCTGACATGCCAATAACCTGAACAGCATAATCAGTTATGAAAAGGAATTATCCTAATGGTAATCCAAAGAGGAAGATGAAAAAAAGACAATACAGATAAAGAAAGCTACATTCAGGAGTACCAAAAAGAGAAGTAGCAATGTGTTGGTCCAGTTACCAGTTCTTGTCAGTCAAACAAACAAGGTAAATTGCTGCTTCCACCACCTTAACAAACATATACTATTGTATTACAAACAAATGGAGAAATTACACAATTTCACAAATTATTTTTCATATAGAGAATGTTTTAAATGCTGTGTACATGACAAATTATATTGTATTCATTTATAAACTTAACATGTGGCACAATAAAATGTGTTTTGATTGTTACAGACTAAGTGTTGTTACATAAATGCTGTGCTTATGATTTATGTAAATGCTGATGTTATGATGCACAACTAATAAATGTAATTGTTAATTCATTTGATGTCAAGGTTAAATATACATGTGGCTGATGTACAATGAACTATTGTCATAACTTGTAAGTCATCCGAAAATAAGGTATAAACAATGTTTCTTGCATAGCAAGATTTAGAAAACCAGACAGAAGTGGGGTTTCTCCCTTTTTCTGAATTGGAGTTTGTTAACATCTTTATTAATGAGTCAGCCATACGCAAAATATTGAACAGGCATTGTATCTGTGGGACACCATGGAGGAAACCATTGCTCTCCAAAAACAAAATTGCAGCACACATGAAGTTTGACCACCTTGACACTCCACAACACTAGTGGGAAAATGTGCTGTGGACAGATGAAATGAAAGTCAAATTGTCTGGGAAAAACATGTAGAACCATGTATGACATGAAAAGAGAACTGCGTACCAACATGAAAACATCATCCCAACAGTGAAGTATGGTGGAGGGAGCATCATGATTTGGTGCTGCTTTGCTGCCTCTGGACCTGAACCCCTTGCCACTGTGGAGGAGAAAATTAATTCCCAAGTTTATCACGGTATTCTACAGGATAATGTCAGGATGGCTGTCTGTAAGCTGAGGCTCAGAACAAGCTGGGTGATACAGGAGGACAATGACCATAAACATCAACGTAAATGTATTCCAGAATGGCTTCAGAGACACAAAAGCCTTTTTGAGTGTGTTCAATAAAGACATGAAAGATCAGGACTGTTTTATCATCTTAGAACTATTGTTTGGTGATATTTGTGACTTTGGTTAAGATCAGATCACATTTCATGACCAATTTATGCAGAAAACCAGGAAACTGCAAACAGTGCCTTTACTTTTTCTTGCAACTGTATGGAGGTTTAAGGCTGATATCAAGTTCAGACCCAAAAGGGGAGTACCCTTTTCCACCACAAAAAAATGGTGGCAAGAACAACAGTTTCACCTCTTGCTACTTGGGCCTTGAACCATCCTTTAACAGGTATTTCAGTCTTTGAGTAAATGACCAGAATAGAGCATGGATCAGGCCGTGAACTTCTCACACTGGACATACAGTATAGGGGCAGGATGACACACTTGAGCAAACTTCTTTGTTCGAGGGTGCCCTTTTTTCCATAGTTTTTGTATTTAGCCTTAGCAGCTGGACAATAGGGTGCATTAGCCAAATGACCATGTGATCCATAGCTAAAGTATGTGTGTGGGGTTTGCAGAGAAGGTAGGAATGACCTGTTTTCTTCTGCAGCTCCTGTACTTGCAAGCTCAGTTTTTCAACAGCTATAGATTTTGACTGCTCAGCTGCAGACTCGATCTTTGTGGCCAGCATGATGGCTTTAACTTTAAGGTTTGGTTCCATTAGCAGTCTTTCTTGTAGCCATGTGTTTGACATATTTTCCAAAAACTGATCATGATGCATGTCATATGTATTATTTCCAAACATGTAGATGCAAGCTCTCTTAAAGCTGCTAAGAATCGGTTATCAGTCTTGTGTGTGGCGTTCTATGACCACATTAATGGTCAGTGTACAGTGAGCTTATAAAGCATCAACTGCCGATGGGAGGCAGAATGGCCACACTGAAGAGTCAACTCACATCTCCTTTAAATACGTTAAACACACAGAATGCAAACATAACATGCAGCCAGGGCTACTTCACTCCTTTCTCCTATCACTTCCTGTACTTTTCTCTAACCACATAGCTCTACTGAGACACCTGGTGATAACATTACAAACTGCATTAGACACAGTTGCTGGGATTGAAAAAGGTCTCTTAGAAGATGAAAGTGAAAAAGGCAAGATTCCAGAATATTCCCTCAATGATGTGGATGATGAGCTATTCAGGTACTGTACTTGGCCTAGTGACTGTGAAATAAAGTTCCTCTGTATTTATGTAGTTTAAACCCTCTGTTCTGGTGCTATGACTGCCTTGTCTCTGGGAATATTTCATGTGATGTGCCCATGACTCCAGGCCATCACCATTAATAACAACACTAAGTTGAATATTTAGGACATTATACCAACTTTATAGAGCATACTCCATCTATGATTAATAAATACATGTTACTCTAACAGCTGTAAACCACAAGTTGTGATTTCCTGAAAATGGCATGATCTGTTCTGTGTATTCAAATAACATTAAATGTTTTGTCTGATGATTTAAGACTCAAGATGCATCTGATGTGACTGCTTATATCCAAATATTGTGGACTGTGGATACACAGGGGAAGTTGACATGGAGCACAAAGACAAACATTAAGGTATTCACACAGTAAGAAATATTACCATGATGTAACACATTGCAGTGCAGCCTCAATCACCATGTGAGGTTTGTTTTTTTTTCTTCTAGAAATGTGAGAATAATGACATAATTTCTGACTTTGTTTCTAGGGTGTACTTAGCATCAACAAGAAAACTCTGATGAAAAAGGTGATTTCCAGGCTAAAATGTTTAAAATTTCATCAGTTTACTGATGTGTCCATGTAAGAATAAAAGGACATACTGTTGCCCACATTCAGCAGCAAAGCCTTCTTCAGAGCTATATTCTTCAGCCTACTGGCTATGTAGCTACACCTCAGCAACAGTGTTTACTTGCTTGTTTGTTTGATTTCAGTTTCCTTAGTGTATTTCTCTGTATTCAGGGCAATTTGACTTCATGTGATGACAAAACACAAAAAAGATCGATCGACTAGTGCAATGCATAATATGAAAAATGCCTAAGAATAGTAAACCCAATCTCCAGTCTACTTGTGGGTCAGATCACAGAGACAACACCTATATTTGTTGCATTTTCTAACACTGTGATTAGAATATAGTCTTAAGGGTAGAATCGAGTCCCTGTCAGCTTGAAGTCAGACATGCAGTGCTGAAGGTAGGGTCAGAGTTATCATGAGGATATGAGTAGAGGGTGTGTGTTCAAGCCTATGAACAGACTGTTAAGGCCATGGCCAGCGGTTGCGAGCAGGCCTGCCCTGTGGCTTCGTGCTGCTGTGCGCAGAGCCTACCACCGGGTTGCACATCCCCACTGTGGCTGGCCTCTTTCCGGCAGATGTCCCAGCACTCAGCCGAGGGGAATCCCACCACAAGTCAGGGTTGCGTAAAAAAAGACCGGTTCCCCAGTACTGGAGGCCTGCCCCTCAGCTGCTACTCATGGGAAGCATCAAATTTGTAACTGTTAAGTTAATTTTTCTTTAGGAACCGTTTTTGTCACAGGAGGTCAGCTCAGTCTGGGAGATGAGGCTCTTTGTTCCTGCCAATGCAGAAGTGCTGTTGCTGTTTTAACTGTTTCTTAGCAGATGGTTTTGGGCTTCAAATGTCCAAAAAGGTTATCAGACGTTATAATATATGGCTTCATTTCAGTTGTGCATTGTTCTCAGTGATGGGAACAGTGTATGGAAAAATACACACCCCACATTCATTTCTGTCAGTGCCACAAGCTAAATTCCTTTCACCTCCGCAGTTTGATTTGTCACAATAAGAAAAGCTCAGGTGTTACTAAGGCGTTAAAGCCTCTCTTATAGCAAATGTTCCAGTAAGCAATGACAGTGTCACAGGGTCTTGGTTTTGTTCATTCTAGTTCAGTAAAACTGAAGCTAAATGGAATTTAGACAACATTCATTTTATTAATTACACCTGTGCTCAGGTGGAACAGTAGTGTAGTGGTTAGCGCTGTCGCCTCACAGCAAGAAGGTTTTGGGTTTGAGTCTCTAAGTGTTGGCCCTGTGACAGACTGGTGACCTGTCCAGAGTGCACCCTGCCTCTCACCCAATGCCAGCAGGGACAGTCCTCTGTGACCCTGTTCAGGAATACGTAGCATAGATAATGAATGGATGCCTATGCTTTTTTAAAATCTTGACATGTCAAAGTATCTCTCAAGAAGAGGCCTATTACTGTATTGTAGTAGAGGCAGAAATCTCAGAGCAAATATCTCAAAACCTTGACAAATACAACCCAACCCATCTGCACTGATAGATTATTCTAGGGAAGCAAGTTTTTTGGTTTTGTTTTGTTTTTGGTTCAAATGGCCCTTTAAAGCTGCTGCAC